ATTATCACCAAGTAAACATAATTTTATCTTTTTATTCAAATATTAATACACTATTTCTTAGTTCATTTGCCAGAATGGCATTTTTTTTAAAATAATTATCTACATATGATTTTAGGTTAGAAAATGAGAAATGATTCAAGGGAACAAGAAAGTTTTGGAAATTATGGAAACCCTTAAAGACTTTAATTATTACAAACCAGAAGCAACATGACAATGGTGAGGATGTGCTGCAGAAGACACTTTGCTGGGGTAGCTGGTATCCAGCTGGCTATCAGCTCAGAAAATTAGAACTGCTTCCTCCCACACAGCTGCAATCCCATTCAGATGGGTCACAGAATTCCATGTTAAAAAAAAAAAATTGGAATAGCATATTTATTCCAGCTGTGGAAGGAAGATAAACTTTTGACTATTGTGAAATAAAGGATATCATCAGAGACAAATTGAATAGGTATGAATATATAAAAATAAAATAGTTTTGCCCAATGAAATGTAAAAAAGGTACGGTAACAGAGGAGGGAAAAAGCTGATAAAAGTTTACAAGCTTATATATATGCATATAAATCTATTACAAATATGAAATATATAAGGTCAATAATCATATTCTAAGGAATAAATGGTCAAAAGAGTCCAATCCGTTTATACATAAAGGAACCAGAAATAGTAAATTGTCATTTGGAACACTGCCAAGCCTCTCGAGATTTTTTTTTTTAATGTAAAAAATACCTTACAGAATAACTGCATGCTTGTTAAATTAAGAAACTGATAGGACACAACATAGAGAAATGTATCCATGTACTTATATATTTCTGGTAGCACTGTGGCCAGTACAAGCTATTTGGAAAGCCTTCTAATAAATGTAACAACAGCTACATATGCATGCACGCACCTGTGCAGACACACACACTGACCTCCTAGTCCACTTGGAGGAACTACATCCCCACAAAGTTATTTGTCTATTTAGAGTAGAACTACTCATAACAGGGAAAAATGAAGACAACCAAATAACCTAAAAAAAGTAAGAAGGGCTAAACAAACTACAGAATGGCAATATGAGGTATCACATAGCTTTCTGAAAGGACACATAAGGGGACATAAATAACTAGAAGTGCAAAGGGAGTTAAACCAATGCTTTGCAAATCTTGCATGTATTATGTGAATTAAGAAAGGTATAGAGTGAATGTTCTCCTTTTTTTTTTTAATTGCATCTTACAGTGAATGTTTTCCTATCCCCTTTTTTTCCTGAGGTACACTGGGCCTTGGAGAGATAAGAAGCCCACCTGGTCCTGTTCAACCGACCACACACCTGTGATCTCTCTCCTCCTTAAATATAATGTGCTCCAGTTGGCACCTTCAGCCTCCAGTCAGTACCACCATAGGAATATACACTGTGCTTTACAACTTAGGTTTCTGGAAAGGAAAGCAACTGCTGAGTTGTCTCATAGGCTTACTGTGAGTGTGGCGAGTGACATGAAGCCGATTAGGTTGTTCCATACTTTATCGATGTCCTTCAGCAACTGCTGGAGTTTCTCACTGCATACTGCAGTGGCTTTTATCCCCAGCTCCACACGCTTGGTTACCCTGTACACTTCAACAACACCTGGGGGGATGAGAGAGCAGACAGAGTGTTGGCAGTGGAGACAGAGAGGAACCACAGAGGGCAGCATTGCTGCTTGCTGGTATTTGTTAGAAACAAGGGGTATATCTGGACAGAGGTGTACTTACTATTCTTTGGGACCAACCCACCTCTCAATGCTGCTGTATAGCTCACTGGTAAGAGCACTGACTCTAAAGCTGCACTGCCTGGGTTCAAACCCCAGCTATGTCTCTTACTGGCTACATAACCTTAGGCAAGTCACGTAACCTCTCTGTACTTCAGTTTCCTCATCTGTGAAGTTGGGATGGTAACTACCTCCTCAAAGGATGGTTGAGAGGATTAAACAGGTTAATATGGTAAAAGGCTCAGAATAGTGCTTGAAGAATGACAGGCAATATGCAAGTTATAAGCTTTTGTTTTTTTGGGAGGTTTATTTATGAGTCCATCTGTTTGAATCTGGGAAATCCCAATAAACTGGCTGAAAATGGGGATAGTAAAAATGTAAAAGAATCTAAATGTTAACAGCATCACAAAGTAATTAAGAAACATCTCACCCCTCTGAATCCCAACATCTTACAAACACTTTGACTTCACTTATCTTTTATACACGTAACAGGATACAGAACAGTTCTTTTCCTGTGGTCTCTCAATAGTGGTTGAACTCTTTAAGCAAGGATGAGAGGTGCTAAGTACCTCTACCTTCTAAGGACAGCCACTAGCCTGCAATGTGACAGTCACCAAACACATGATCCTGGCCTCTCTAGGTGAACACTGAAAGAATTCCAGGGGGTCTTCAGAGTGGCCTATCAGCAGCCCTGTGTACAGCACTACTGCTTTTCTTCTTCTTTCCCCAAGGGAGAGGCAGAAATCACTGCCCACCCTAAGCCAAGTGAGGGGGCTTCTAAGAGAATCTTTCACAGATACAAGGATACTAGGAGAAAAGACAGGTGCCACATTTCCTGGTGGGCATCTGCTTATGCAGAACTGTGCTTGTTTGAACAAGAAAAGATGACCCCGAGTGAGGTGGCAGGAGTAAGGCGGAGGCAACATCCCTTCACTCTCCACTCATCCAGCAAGCAGTTTTGAGTGCCAACTGTGTGCCAGACACTAGGTTAAGTGTTGGGGACACGCCAGTGAACAAAACAGACCAAAATCCTTGGCTTCTTGGAGGTTCATTCTAATGAAGGGAGACAGAGAGTAAAAACAAGTAGCTAGGCACAGTGGCTCATGCCTGTGATCCCAGAACTTTGGGATGCCGAGGTGGGTTGGTCACTTGAGCTCTGGGGTTTGAGACCAGCCTGGGCAACATGGCGAAAACCTGTCTCTACAAAAAAATACAAAAATTAGTCAGGTGTGTGGTGGTGTGCGCCTATAGTCCCAGCTACTTGGGAGGCTGAGGTGGGAGGACTGCTTGACCCTGATAGGTGGACACTGCAGTGAGTTGTGATCACAACACTGCACTCCAACCTCAGTGACAGAGTGTGACCCTGTCTTAAAAACAAAACAAAACAAAAAAATGCTGGACACAATGGCTCACGCCTGTAATCCCAGCACTTTGGGAGGCTGAGATGGGTTGATCACCTGAGGTCAGGAGTTTGAGACTAGTTTGGCCAACATGGTGAGATCCAGTCTCTATTAAAAATACAAAAATTAGCTGGGCGTGGTGGTGGGCATCTATAATCCTAGCTACTTGGGAGGCTGAGGCACAAGAATCGCCTGAACTGGGGAGGTGCAGGTTGCAGTGAGCCGAGATTGCACCACTGCACTCCAACCTGGCCAACAGAGTGAGACTTTCCTCAAAAAAAAAAAAAAAAAGGGAAAGAAAATAATAATAAGTAACATGTCAGAAACTAAAGGTAACAGGGCTTAGGACAATATCCAGCGGAGAATGGGATTGGAAGTGCTGCAGTAGGGAGAGAGGATTTTTTTTTTTTTTAGATGGAGTTTCGCTCTCGTTACCCAGGCTGCAGTGCAATGGCGCCATCTCGGCTCACCGCAACCTCTGCCTCCTGGGTTCAGGCAATTCTCCTGACTTACCTCCCGAGTAGCTGGGATTACAGGCATGCACCACCATGCCCAGCTAATGTTTTGTATTTTTAGTAGACATGGGGTTTCACCATGTTGACCAGGATGGTCTCAATCTCTTGACCTCGTGATCCACCCGCCTCTGCCTCCCAAAGTGCTGGGATTATAGGCGTGAGCCACCTCGCCCAGCCCGAGAGGATATTTTTTAGAGAAATGGATGCTAGGGAAGATTTCACGCAGAAGCTGACATTTGAGTAAAGATTTGAAAAAGATTAGGGTACAGTGTGTGTGGCCTCGGCCATGGGCCAAGCCTGAGCTTGGGAAAGGGAGGAACATCGAAGTGGGCAGAGGCTACCATTTCAAGTTGGACTGACATATCTAACTGCTGCAGATGGCCAGGAAGTTCAGCAATCCGTGATGTCATGAAGCGGTAGAGAGGAAGAATACAGAGTATGGTAAGGTACTGATGGGAGACAAAATGATTTGATTTTAGTGCATCAGTAGTTCAGATTCTTTGACAAACCAGTTAATACAGATATAATTTTACATTTTTGCTATTATGTATATAACAAGGACTAGGAAACTTACCCATAGAGACTTTTTACGTTAAATAGTTTACTGCCCGTGACTTAAGTGTCTTACCCACAAATGCAGACGTTTCTTACTGAAGTCATATGTAACTTGAGAGATCCAGCTTAAAATAATTAAAGGAAAACTGAAAATAATGCGAAGTGCCATGATTTTTAATAGTAAAATATAAAAGAACATACCTAATAAATATTCCATGCCTTGTGCTGACTGAATTACTTCTGTGCAAACAGAACTACTACTGATTCCATTTAAGGTATCATTTGCCTTCTTAATGACCTACAAGAAATGAAATCACATCACCTTACGTAACTGAGAAAAGTCATCGCAAATCAACTGACTATTAGTAGAAAACCCAACCGAAAGGCCAGGAGGTATGAAAAAGCATGACAGATTGATGTGTGTATACGACTATGCTAAAACAAACCTGAGAATTTAATTTTATTGTTGAAGAAACAATCCTCCATTTCTTTGGAAGAGAAAAGACAGGTTCTTTAAATATTATTTTGATTTAGACAGAGTTAATGATATCACTTTGTTATTTCTTAAACATGATGACAGATGAGGGGACAACTGACAAATGAGCCAGTCTGCTATTGTAAGTGTGAAGGAAGCCTCACCTAAGATGTATGACTTCCATAGTTTCACTTTGCCCAAGAACACCCAAGAAAGGCTCTCCTGAAGTTTGCCTCTGTCCATTCAAATGAACCAAGGCAAAATTGCACAGGAGAGCATTTACACATGTGTGAACGCAAAAGTGACATACTCACATCCAGGGCACTCCCCAGGCATCTCTGCCATTCATATGCGTATCTCTCATTTTCCTGTGAATTTAAAAAAAAAGAACCGGGTTAAACACACAAAACTGGAATCTTCTATTGATGACTCTGTCAATTCAAAGAACTTGGAAGACTTTCAATCACTCTAGTTCAAGCAGTTTATCTTTTTTTGTTTTTTCTTGAGACAGGGTCTTGCTCTATTGCCCAGGCTGAAGTACAGTGGTGTGATTTCTGCTCACTGCAGCCTCAACCTCCTGGATGCAGGCAATCCTCCCACCTCAGTCTCCAGAGTAGCTGAGACTACAGGTACGCACCACCACATGCAGCTACTTTTTGTATTTTTGGTAGACATAGGGTTTTGCCATGTTGCTTAGGCTGGTCTCAAACTCCTGAGCTCAAGTGATATGCCCCAATTGGCCTTCTGAAGTGCTGGGATTACAAGCATGAGCCACAGTGCCTGGCCACAGTTTCTTTTTGAACTCACTATGTTAAATTACTAATAAATGTAACTTCTGAGCACAGGACCTGCAAGTCTGAAGGACATGCTTTCCAGCAGCTTCCCCCTGTGAGTGTTGCCTCATTTGTTCCATCAGTAACAGAGTAATTAAGTCTTTCTTCGAAGGCACTCAGCAGGTAGCTGTCTGGTACGGAAACCGCTATCAAGCCATTGGCTTTCCGATCTCTGGTTATAATGCTGTGTGTGAAGACGTGGTACACGTGCATGTGTAACAAGGAGTAGGGAAAGGCGAGAAGTGAAGTGTGTTGGCCACAGGAAGAGCACAGAGTGGCACTAAGATGTAGCAGACAGAAATAAAAAATTCAGAGTATTTTCCCTGTCTCCTCTATTTTGCGGTTTCATGAAGATAAGTCTAAGTGCTCAAGAAGAATTCTACAGGGCCGGGCGCAGTAGCTCACGCCTGTAACCCCAGCACTTTGGGAGGCCGAGGCGGATCACAAGGTCAAGAGATCGAGACCATCCTGGTCAGCATGGTGAAACCCTGTCCCTACTAAAAATACAAAAAATTAGGCGGGTATGGTGGCGCGTGCCTATAATCCCAGCTACTCAGGAGGCTGGGGCAGGAGAATTGCCTGAACCCAGGAGGCGGAGGTTGTGGTGAGCCGAGATCGCGCCATTGCACTCCAGCTGGGTAACAAGAGCGAAACTCCAACTCAAAAAAAAAAAAAAAAAGAATTCTACAAACACTGCCATCCTTGTGAAGTCCCACGAAAAATTTTGGTTTTAGGGTCACCGACTACTTTCAGCAGATGCCACACCGTACCCTTCTCTCACTTCAATTACATAGTTCATGTCTGGTGCTTTGTGTCTTTCTGCTCCTCATTTTCCCCATGTGAAAGCTGAGAGCATTCTTTCTTGGGGCCCTGTGCGTTTGCTGGTCTGTTACCCACTCCCTGTAGAAAGCTCTCCTCTTACCTCCACCTCTCCCGTCAGGTCTTTGTACTTGTCTCGGATGACAGGCAGCGCGGGCTTCTCATTGAGAGTATTGGAACGGTCCCTGAAAGGCTGCTCCAAAGCCGGAGAAGCAGAAGAACGGCTTATTTCTTTATCACCAAGGCTCAAACTCCTCTTGTGTGATCCTGGGAAAAAGGAATAATACAGTCAAAGGTTTTGGCTACTCACCTTAGTTCAAGCAGAGGCTCTTCCTTGTTACCACAACCCTTTTTTTTTTTTTTTTTTGAGACAGTCTTGCACTATGGCCCAGACTGGAGTGCAGAGGTGCAATCTTGGCTCACTGCAACCTCTGCCTCCCAGATTCAAGCGATTCTCTTGCCTCAGCCTCCTGAGTAGCTGGGATTACAGGCATGCGCTACCATGCCCAGCTGATTTTTTGTATTTTTAGTAGAGACGGGGTTTCACCATGTGGACCAGGATGGTCTTGATCTCTTGACCTCGTGATCCACCCGCCTCGGCCTCCCTAAGTGCTGGGATTACAGGCGTGAGCCACCGCGCCCGGCCTAATTTTTATTTTTAGTAGAGACAGGGTTTCACCGTGTTGGCCAGGCTGGTCTCGAACTCCTGACCTCAAGTGATTTGCCACCTCAGCCTCCCAAAGTGCTGAGATTACAGGTGTGAGCCACCGTGCCCTGCCCATGACCCTCTTCTTCAGATGCTTATGTCATGAAACAAACACATTTCTTATTCATTCTCTCTTGGAAGCTACGCATTGAATCTTTTCCACTGTTCTCTCTTTTGGTTTCCCTGACTTTTGTTTTCAGCCTGACTCTTCTCTGATCTATCACAAGTCTTCCATAATGCTCAGTGCAGAATCACTGGCATCTGGAACACAAATGCGCCTTTCTAAATATGAGTATGTAAGAGTTGTGTGGCTTTTCCAGTCATTTATTAGGAAGTTGCAACTGAGCTCCTTCACAGGCTCTCAATCCAGCTGACATAGAACCCCTTCTGTGAGGATGAGATTAAAGCAGAAGAGGCAAACTTAAATGCCTTCAAAGACCAGGCAAGTAAAGTAAAAAACTGAAGTAGGTCTGCTGAGTTAGGAAGAGGTAGGGATGATGGCAAGAGAGAGAGAAGGACCCATCTAGAGGGATTGGTGCTCTTCAGCTCCAGCTGCTTGTCAACACATGGAAGTGCAAACCTCCTAGTGCCAGATATTATGATTTCTCAAGAAAAGTTAGAAGTCCAGATTGGGAGGCCGGGCGCGGTGGCTCACGCCTGTAATCCCAGCACTTTGGGAGGCCGAGGCGGGTGGATCACGAGGTCAAGAGATCGAGACCATCCTGGTCAACATGGTGAAACCTCGTCTCTACTAAAACTACAAAAAATTAGCTGGGCATGGTGGCGCGTGCCTGTAATCCCAGCTACTCAGGAGGCTGAGGCAGGAAAATTGCCTGAACCCAGGAGGCGGAGGTTGCGGTGAGCCGAGATCGTGCCATTGCACTCCAGCCTGGGTAACATGAGTGAAACTCCGTCTCAAAAAAAAAAAAAAAAAAAAAAAAAGAAGTCCAGATTGGGAAATCTCATATCTTTTAAATACTGGCAACTATTTCACACTTAAAAATCTTCTGTGTGGTGGGTCAATGTGATATGCAGGCTGGATGCAGATCCATGGCCACAATGCAACTTTTGGATTAAAAGACATTGTTGGCCCAGCATGGTGGCTCACACCTGTAATCCCAGCACTTTGGGAGGCTGAGGCAGGCAGATCAAGAGGTCAGGAGTTCGAGACCAGCCTGGCCAACACGGTGAAACCCACTTTTACTAAAAATACAAAAATTAGCCAGGCATGGTGACACATGCCTGCAGTCCCAACTACTCGAGAGGCTGAGGCAGAAGAATCGGTTGAACCTGGGAGGCAGAGGTTGCAGTCAGCCAAGCTCGTGCCACTGCACTCCAGCTGAGAGCAATGATATTCCATCTCAAAAAGAAAAAAAGACGTTATCTGTGCCCAGAGAACACGAGCGGAGCTAATGTGCCTACAAGTGGCTTAAATCCATTTATCTGGCTCTTTTAACACAGCACACCTCTAACCAAACAAACTAATGAACAATACCTGCATGCTATGCTTGTTTTTAGCCCATAAAGGAGTTATCTGAGGGACACTGATTTTGACTCCAGTCTCAGGGAAATCTTTCTTATAGATATCTGTAATTGACGCTGATTTCAAAGATTAGAAAATCTATTTCCTGCTAAACCAGGGAGCAACATTTTATTCTTAAGAACATCTAACACTTCAGTGGAAAAAAACTGCAAAAGTAAAATCTACCTTGGAAGTTACTCACCTTGAACAGAAAGGTCAAAGGTTGCCAGCTCACTTTTGATCATTTCTTCACTGGATTTCATTTTGCTTTGTGAAGTGGCTACTAAGAAGTCAAATTTGCTGATTTTGGGCTTTTCACTTTGAAACTCTCCAAAGTCATCTGAACATTCGTTGGGGGTTTCTTGAGAGGTGCCACTGGAAGCTGGGCTGGGACACGTGGCCTCTTGGCTCCGTTCAGCCGTAGGCAGGTCCTGTCTTGTGAAATCTTTATAGTCTCTGCTTTCATATTCCTTTTGCTCACAGGTCTGAGGAATCATGTCTTTAAAACTGGCAAAAGCTGGGAAGGTTGTCTCTGGAAGAGCATCTTCACTTGCAAAGGTCGTTACTTTGGAGAGAGATGTCATGGTGATGTTTTCAGAACTGCCAAATGAAGTCTCTTTCTTTTGAAGAATTGAGGTGGCTGAGGGGGATCCACTTCCTGCTGAGAGGACAAATGGAGAGAGTTTTCTGCCCTGAGATGCATCATCCCTGTCTGACCAGTCATAGCTTGTAAGTGTGCTCACTGCAAAATTGCTACTGTAGCTTCCAAAAGCAGCATATTTTAAGTCCTCTATATCTGAAAGGGAAATAAGACCCCACAATTAGAGGCAAGCAATTTAGGCAAAATGCCCTAAACTCTGTAGAAGCAAAATGACTAGCATATTTGATTAGTTTTATACTACGTTGAAATTAGCTAAATTTAGAGTTTCTACTAAAATTAAAGGAGCTGGGTTGTAAAATCTGATCTTAAAAATAAAAAAACCCATATTAGCTTTGAGTTGACATTTACATTTAGTTACCAAGAACCATTTTCTTTGGCTATAAAACTAAAAAAAGATAGGAGGTTCATCTACCAATGTATATACTGTTTGATATAAGATTAGGGTCATTTAATAAATCGTTCCCTTATAAACTTTAAAATGTACTGATAGTCCTTGCCTAAAACATGTCTCCCTTTCTCTTGACTTTGTTGGAAAATGTGCCTTTAAAACATGGTCATGTGAAATGTACATGGTAAATTAATTAAAAGTTGACAGTTTCTCAAAACTAAAATGTAAATAATGTCATCTAACTTTTAATCAATTATTAGGATTTCTGTCATATTATCAATTAGTAGGATTTCTATCTCAGGCAATGCCAAATATGAGATTTTAATCAAGCAATTACTTACCTAGTTGTTATTTTGGTCAAATTGGACGTCATATTGCTGTGATGAAGTATGAGGAAAGAAAAACCAATCTAATCTACTTTAGCCCTTAAAAAATAGAATCAAAAGATCTGGGTCCTGTTGGGCTCCACTTTTTCCTTCAACTATGTATCCACTTCCCATTTAAAAAAAAAAAAAGGAAAGAGGAAAAAGCAAGAAATGCTGGGGCAGATGACTGATTTTATAAAGCATTCTTAATATAGAGTTAAATAATTTAAGAGGCAGCATAAAACAGTAGAAAGAATGTAGGTTTTTGATTTAGAAAGACCTAAGCTCAACTCTGCTACCTACTACTTCTGTGACGCTAGGTAAATGACGGAACATTTCTGAACCTCAGTTTGCTTATCCGTACAATAAGGGAAGCCCGTGTACTTGGAAGGACTGTGTTATGACCATCAGTCATGATCATGTATGTAAAAGGCCAGCTCGGTGCCTGGTGAGCAATATATAATAGCTAGTGTCTGCTCAGCATAGGTGCCACCAGCCTCAACTAGACAGTTAATTGCTGCTTTAGGGCCTACAGTGGAATTTCAAAGCAAAAATGAAAAGTCAACTCAGCATTTTAGTGGTGTTACTAGGAGAAAAAGTTTCTTGCTCATTTTTAAAAAGCAAAACCAGCCGACACTGAATTAGGCTGGTGTGGAGAAGCGGGTTGATGTGCATTTAGTTTTATTGTAGTCACTGTACACGAAGCAAGAAGGCCAAAGACAAGACTCCCTCTGACAACCACATATGTGATTTAAAAGGAAAGTGCTCCAAGTTTTGTGACCCAGATTTTCAGAATGAAGTCAATAGGTAAACCGACAGGGAGTCTATTATCTTTTACAGCAATACTGCTCTTTTACAGCAATACTGCATATTTTATGAGGAGTAAGAGGCTCCTGACATTTCCATAGCTCTTCTAATGGTATACTCCAAATCTCTCTTTCTTTGAGCTCTGTTAGGAAAGGGGTACTAAGTTAATAATAAAAGCAAAAAACACTAGCTGTACAAAAAGCCAACTAGCAAAAAGCAAACAGTTTTCACAGAATGATGGCATATTTTAAAATTCTGTGGTAAAATGGTACACTTCAAATGTGGTTTATTAAACAGAAGGAAAAAAAATAGATGTATATATTTTTTGAGATGGAATTTCACTCTTGTCAACCAGGCTGGAGTCCAATGGCACGATCTCAGCTCACCACAACCTTCGCCTCCTGGGTTCAAGTGATTCTCCTGTCTCAGCCTCCCGAGTAGCTGGAATTGCAGGCGTCCACCACCACGCCCAGCCTGTATTTGTATTTTTAGTAGAGATGGAGTTTCACCGTGTTGGCCAGGCTGGTGTCAAACTCCTGACTTCAGGTGATCCACCTGTCTTGGCCTCCCAAAGTGCTGGGATTACAGGTGTGAGCTATTGTGCCTGGCATCAGGTGAAAAATTTATAGTTTAGAATGAATGGAAAAGCCTTTAGCCCGAAGCTTTCTCGGTCTCTTGCTGTAGTGTTGTTTTTGTTTCCCCACTATTTAAAGGGATCAGAAGGTGTCCAGACTCAAATGAGGTGAAATTCAATCAGGGGGCAAGGCAGTTAAATACAGGACTAGTCTTGGAGGGGTACATTCAGAAGAATGTTAATAATACAAATATTTGTATTATTAGGCCCTACAAAAGTGTTTTTGGGTCACTATATTAGGAACTGCGTCCAGAGTTCCTTGTATTAAAAGGGTAGCAAGCTGGGTATGGTGGCTCATGCCTGTAATCCCAGCACTTTGGGAGGCCAAGGCCAGTGGATCGCCAGAGGTCGGGAGTTCAAGACCAGTCTGATGTACATGGAGAAACCCCGTCTCTACTAGAAATACAAAATTAGCCAGGCATGGTGCTACCTGCCTGTAATTCCAGCTACTCAGGAGGCTGAGGCAGGAGAACAGCTTGAACCGGGGAGACAAGTTGCAGTGAGCAGAGATAGCACCATTGTACTCCAGCCTGGGCAACGAGAGCAAAACTTGGTCTCAAAACAAAACACAATAGCTGGGTATGGTGGTGCACGCCTATAATAGCTACTTGGGAGGCTGAGGCAGGAGAATTACTTGAACCAGAGACTCAGAAGTTGGAGTGGGCTAAGATGGCGCCACTGCACTCCAGCCTGGCAACAGAGCAAGACTCCATCTCAAAAAAAAGGTAGCAATATTCCTAGAGGCAAACGATAAATTTAATAAAAAGATAGCTCCAGTTCAAACACTGCAACCAAGATATTGCTATGGCAATAAAAAGATTCTTCTGTACAATTATGCAACAAGAAAATGTCTTTTAAAAAACTAAAATGACTAATAAAATGACTAATAAAAGGCATTATAGGCAATAAAGGATTGCCTTAGCTGAGGTGCTTTTAAGCATTTTTAAAATTTTAGAAAATCTTATTTTTATTAAAAGTGATATGCCTGTCATATCTTGCTTTTGGAACAACTCCCAGAAATGACTAAATGAAAGACAAAACCGAATGAAAGCCTTAAAAAGAAATATTTTCTACTTAAAAAAAAAAAATGAAGAGTAAATATACAAGATTCACTAAAATCAAGCCTCAAAAGTGAGTTTTAAATTTACTTTTGGTTATTTATTGGCTACTATAATGTGGAAAAAGTAATGTCATAAAGTTTAATTCATATGGATACAAATACTGACGGTACATAAGGAATGTGAGACAGACCACCGCACCCCTAAACTTAGCATTGATAAACAATATAGGCCGGGCGCGGTGGCTCAAGCCTGTAATCCCAGCACTTTGGGAGGCCGAGGCGGGTGGATCACAAGGTCAAGAGATCGAGACCATCCTGGTCAACATGGTGAAACCCCGTCTCTACTA